AACGACGACATGAGCTTTCAAGTACGTTTTCTCAAAAAAGCTCAAAAACAAATCTACTTGGCGGATAATAAAAGCATGATCAACGGTGGGTGTTAAGTAGTTTTTAATGGGTTGCTAAAAAATTAAAAACAATAAAAAAAAGTACTTATCAACCCCAACAAAAAGTACTAATCTAAGAGATTTAGAAACCCAAAATTAAAAACAATTTATAATAAAAAAATCACTAAGCAATCCAATTTAGCCCCCACCATTGATCATGCTCTAATATACTCGACTTGGACATGGGCTTGACGAGCCCAATAGTGACGTAGCGATGGTAAAGTCAGTCACGTAATGACATCATCTTTCATCCTCTCGGTGGATTAGGGTTTTAAAAATTCTCTTTTCTTAAACCCTACCATAGGCCGGAGAAAGTGCGATTCCTCTGTTTCTTTGGCGATAACTTTTCTTGGTAATAATGAGTGATCAAACGGATAATAGATTCACTTGGGTTTTGGATTATTTCTCTTCTTTGCAAGATGACAAGTGCTACTCTGCCACCTTCATGGTCGCCGACTGCAATTGGTAAATAGAGTGAAAAAGATTACAATACACTTTTGATCCATTATTGTTTTGGATTTTGATTCTTGTCTTTTGTACACATGCAGGCGCCTTGTTGCGTATCCTAAAGGATATATGAATGGTGGTTACTTGTGTCTTTATCTACAACTTGCGGCTCCTGCATCTTTGCCACTACTATGGACAAGAAGAGTGAAATTTAGCCTCACTCTTCTTAATGGTTTGGGAAAATCAAACAGAGTATTAGGTAAACTGTTTTCATATAGATTCTTTCCTATCTTTTCGATTTCTCAAACTAAGAAAGATGAACAAATTCTTTGTGATATTTGAGCCTTATGTACTTGTTGAGAAATTTTTATATGCAAAGTTTGAATTTTTTTTTTGTTCATCCCTAATCTTTCTCTTGTTCTGTTTTGTGGCAGGAGGGCAATGCTTTTGAGACGCAGCGAATCATAAGAGTTGGGGATATAAAGAGTTTGTGTCCCTTACCAAACTTCATTCCAAGGATGAAGGATTTCTGGTGAATGACAAACTCGTTATCGTCGCTGATCTATACTATGTTCCAGCCTCTGTTATTGTACTAGAGGAAACTGTGAAGATTAGTGAGCCTCTAAGCAGCAAAGAAGGAAACCAAGCTGAGAATGCATCCACCGCAAAATCTCAAGGGGACTCTTCTTGTCAAATGGCGCAAAAAACTGAGAATGCATCCAAATAGAGTTTAGATGATCATGAAATATCTAAAGAGGGTTCA